TGATTTGGTAATAACTTCTTACCGGATTGGTGGTGGTTTGTTTCTGAGGGGTAAATTTTTCATTACCACAACATTACTAAATGCCCGTTATTACCAGTCATATATACTCCGGTCATTAATAATTTAATACCAGTTTTCTAAGAGTGTAAACCTATATTTGCTTTTGTATAACTTCTTTTTCTTCGTCTTCTCCTGTTCCCAACTGACTGACTGCGAGAAACTTAAAAATGTTTCATAATATTCCGGCTTTCCTTTTCCCATATGATTTACACCGCCGTTGGAAACATAAAACTTACACAATTACCAACGTCAGGTGTCCAACTTTCAACTTAAAAGAAGAAACAACTACTTCCCATCTGCCACTCCTCCTCCGGCGAAGTTGGACTAATTTAGTTATTTATTAGTTCCAAGTGCTGGAACTGTTTTATTTACTTATTTCCTCTAATTTCTTAGCAGCCAAGTGCTGTTAACATGAAGGAAAAACTCAAGCTAATAACTTTTTCTCTCGAGTAAAAACATGAACCAAAGTGTTTAAGGTTCTGTTTTAGAGTGTATAAAAAAGTACACATTTATAAATAATTTTTGACTCGGGGAAAGCAAGCAGTGTTTCGGGTGAAAGTAACCACGTGCAAGAAATAAAGGGGAGAAAGTGGATTTTTGCGGAGATTTTGACCTGCAAGAAATGCAAGGCGCAAAAAACTACGTCATACTTCATACGGCACGTGACTTTATAGATGGCGCATATTTCTTGCACTTTCTCCCAGTTTCTTGCACCTCGAATTTCCCCTGTTTCTTGCTCTTCAACCCAAAAAATGTAGCAAACCCACAAAAAACGAAACACTACTAGCAAAAACGTACGTATAAGTATAAGTAAGTGTACCTAAAAATAGATTTTGCCCTTAAAAAACCTACTAGTGCGTATATACATACCCTGCAAAAACCCATTTCCATATTGCACACAATTTTTCCATAACAAAGACACTGTTCGTTGTATGAACATACATTGAATTGAATTCGCAACCAGTGGCACTTTGGTTGATTTATTCCATGCGAAGTGTACAACAACTCTGCTGACTTATACAAACAACCTCCGACCGAGTATTTTCCAAACTATTTCCATCCCATTGTACGCCTCGTGGCCTGGTCCCATTGTTGTTCCCACTGGTGGTTTCTCTAGTGGGAGTGAGTGATAATGTCCTCCTCCTCCCTCCGCGTGGGGAGGATTAGATTTCTCCAAACAACACGAGCATGAAAGTCCTCCTGCTAAACGTATTATAGGAGACGGACGGACTGGTGAAAATGAAAAGTGGCAGGGTGAGTGGGTTCTCTATTATGCAGCCACGTGTGGATTGGGTGGTGAGGTGAATGAGAAATATGGATGTATGTAAAAATCGATGATACGATAAAAATATGACATGATACGTTATAACGGTAAAAATATAATTGCTGTTTGTAAATTTAGGCACTTAAAAATCTGGTAGAGTCGCATATCTATATGCACGGTGTTAGTGTTGATTTGGTAATAACTTCCTACCGGATTGGTGGTAGTTTGTTTCTGAGTGGTAAATTTTTCATTACCACTACATTACTAATTGGTAATCCGTTATTGGCAGTGTCGGAAGAGTCATATACGTGCATAAGTATTCCAGTCAGTAATGATTTAGTTATAGTAGATAACTATCTAGTTATTCTAAAATTTTGACTACTTATTGGTAATAATTCATATAATTTATCTCAAGAAAGTAGCATTTCAGCTCATTTCGGTTCATATCAACAGATCGGCTAGTTTGCAGTTCTCGACAACTTACATAATTTGATCTTATGTTTTCTCAAAACAATTCGGCTAATTTGTACTTCTCGACAACCGACCGACAACAACTTACATAATTTGACCTTATGTTTTCTCAAAGCTCTTAATTTGATGAGGTATCAAATATATATAAGATGCCCCATCAAATTACGAAAACCTTCTTATCTTTTCTGTTTACTTACTAAATATTATGAAATTCATGTGAACCCTTCAATTACAAAAACACAACACCCACTATTATTTTAGCATTTCTCCATCTGCCGCACTGCCGCTTTCTTACTTTCACTCCTCACTCGTACCCTTTCCCTCCCCTATCTCCTGCCACCGTTGGGATGCTAAACCCTGGGATAAGTTCATTTGAAAGATTGCGTATCACGGGAAGAAGACAAGAGCTAAATTTCGCAACAGCAGAACAACTCAACCCGAAACCTTTGATCCTTTGCCAATATTAACACAGGGAGAAAGCGAGAAAGAGAAAGTAAGTAGACCTGAGTAGCACGCAGTTCTGATGGAGCGATCCAAATTCACCAGGGCATATTTAACCAACTTTTAGGTTTTTGCTCCACTTATTTCTTCCATCCTACGCACCACCACCACCACCACTCGGGTCCCTTTTATGGACACCAATTTGCCTTAAATCGCTTTTATTATAGGGTCCCAAACGTACAAATTAAATGGGTGTGCCGCCCAGAAAAAAGAATTACAATTTCGATCATGTTTACAATAAATTGGTGCATATTTATAGGGGCCAATTAGACAGATACATCTCTCCCAGTGGCCGCGGAAGCCGTGGGGGCATTAACATTACAAGATAAGGGGGAGCAAGGGGTTTGTATAAGATGGGCAGATGATGGGACATCGAATAACCGTGGGGACACTGTCCCTCTGTCCCCACGCTTCCGCGGCCACTGATTCCTTCCCCGTGGGGAGAGGCAGACGAACAAGCTATTTATTTATTGTACCGGGACTATTTGTTTATTGTGTATTGACACAAATGAATGAGGGGCCACCGGGTTCGTTCATTCGTTCGAAACCCGGCTCTTCATTTCCAATTAATGAGGCCATGCAACTTTGAGAAGACGACCCACATCGTGCATATGGTATTCTCGACTCTATTTACAAACCAAGGTTCACAATCCAGCAGAGAAGAGACAAGTCTGTTTTTTACACGTGTTTACTCCTCAAACTCGTGTTGACTTGATGATATGATGGTTGGTGGGTTGGACTATTTCAGGAATTGGGAAATCACTCCAAGGACAGCGTAGGAAGAACAAGCAGACAAGTTAGGTACAAGGCACGATTGTGCACACTTTTGTATGTACACATGCGAAATCCAAGACACGTGTGCACATCCGGAGAAAGTTTGTAACTACTTGGTTTCGTTCCCCTCCGTCCAAAGGTGACCAGATGGTCCCAACTGTTTTACCAAGATTAATGAATGAATGGAACGCTCTGCTACAAAATATATGTCTGTACAACTTGATGAAATGATGTCCAATTAGTACACATTTGTGTACACAGCAGTATAATCTCAATTAATTGGAATTTATACCCTGGCTCATTTCGCTTCGTAATAAATTGCCTACTTACTCTCTCTCTCTGTTGTTAATATGGAAGTACGACACGTGGGACGGATAAAACATGCCGATAAGTGTGCGTACTGGTCCACTTGAATTGTGCACTTAAGGTTTCAGATAGATGCTCCTACGTAGTGTCATAGGTATTCAATCAGTGTTTCGTTTCTGGTGGGTTTGTTACATTTCTTTCAGTGCAAAGGAAGAAATGCAAAAAGTACGAGGTGCAAGAAACTGGGAGAAAGTGCCAGGTATAAGAAACTGCAAGAAATTCGAGGTGCAAGAAACTGGAAGAAAGTGCAAGAAATAGGCACCGTCTAGCCACGCGCCTTGATAATTCTTGACGAATAGAGGTGGGGCGTAGTTTCTAGCGCCTTGCATTTCTTGAAGGTCAAAATACCCCGCAAAAAAAACACTTTCTCTCCGCTATTTCTTGCACGTGGTTTGGTTACTTACATCCGAAACACTGAATTAAATGATACATAAAGTTCAAGAAGCGGCCTCCTCTCGATGGGAGAAAGCATGTATGGATCTATTGGAGCTGTGGGGGATGCTTCGATCTAGGAATCGATGCATTGACGATGGATCGTCAATTTGGGGGAAGAAGAGCACCAATTGCTCACGTACCCGTTAAATCTTTATGTGAAATTGGATTAATTTGCTCCAACCGGCCATAAAAACACCTTTCCACTCTACTTTATTGCAGTCTGCATCGTGAATCTGCCACCCTTTGCGCAAAGATTGCCAGATGTGGTCGCAGAATCAATAAGTGCAGAATCCATAGGGTCCCTCATTTTAAATTCGATATCTATATTATAAGCTGGAAACGTTTGTCTGCAACGGAAGTGAAAGTAATTTTCCGAAACGGAAGTGAAAGTATAGAAAGTGAAGCTTCGAACAGCGCGAAAATTCAAATAAATTAAATTCAAAAAATTAATTGTTTGATGGTGGTTATCTGGGAGTGGTTATCCAATTTCCGTTGTGGACCGTCATTCAAGGTGTGAAACTTATCACCCGGCGGGAGACGGGTTTACACGCTAGTTATGTATAGTTAAGGATACCAGTCCAAATTAATACAAGGTAACTAACGTAGGACTAGATGACTCATTACCGAAATCATTAAAAATCAGCACATTTTAATTATTTCCTGGCTCTGGGAATTTTTTTAAATTCTGGACGACCAATTTGTAGTAAGTGAGTTGATTAATACAATGTCCGTGAGTATCTTAAGCCAGTTTCGACGAATTCCAATTTTTTTGAAGGCTTCTTTAACGTGAGATTTTCTTCAAAAACTGTCAAAATCTTTCGTGTATACTTTTTACAAAATTGGCAACTCCCTGCTCTACAAATGTGTGCTCCAGAATTTTTAAAATAAATTCCCAGAGCCGAGAAGTGATCAAATATGTGCTGAATTTCACAATTTTGGCGATAAGTCATCGCGTCCTACGTCAGAAGACAAGATATCGCCATGCGATAACGAGCCACATGGACAGACCAGAATTTTGAGCTCATTCGTAATGAAGATAATTAAGTGTAATGAAGCGAAACTAAATCCGAAGGCGGGTGGGTTTCGTTGGCCACGGGTTATTTGCACAGAAAATTCAATTTGACCTTACCTGATGAAGGAAGAGCGTTCGAAATCATAAGGAATGATGCAAACATGGCTCCTTTTCCGTGCCCCATTAGCGTCACGTTTCCCCTATCACCTCCAAACGCGGCTATGTTTTCTTGCACAAAATGCAGAGCCTGTGGATCAAACGAACCGAAATTCACAAATTATTACCAAACTTCTCAAAGGTACGCGGCGGCATATGTATTCATTCAGTGTGCCGGGTCTTGCGGGTTTGCTACATTTCTTGCAGGGCAAATCAAGAAATGCGAGAAATTCGGGGTGCAAGAAACTGGGAGAAAGTGCACGAAATGTGCACCATCTAACCACGCGCCACGTGAAGTTATGGCTTCGGGAAGTAGTTTCTTGGACTTCGCAATTTTGCAGATCAAAATAGCTCCAAGCAACCACTTAATTTCTGCATTTTTTGCACTAGAAAGCACGAAACGCAAGAAACGCAAGGTGCAGGAAACTGCAAGAAATTCGGCGAAAGTGCAACCAATATGCGCCATGCAGCCAAGCGCCGTATGAAGTACAGCGGCGCGGCGTAGTTTCTTGCGCCTTGCATTTCTTGCAGGTCAAAATACCCACAAAAATCCGCTTTCTTCCCGTTATTTCTTGCAAGTGGTTAATTTACTTTCACCAGAAACTCTGTATGCACGTATGCCGCCAAGAACTTACAGCTACTTGGTCCAAGAGTGCAAAATTGGCTGGAGACTTAAAATATCCGTCCGAATTTGAGTTTAGAAAACCTGTCAGACATATAAAAAAGCACGCTGAATTAAATAATTATTTATTCCGTGGCATGCTTTCTCTTTCTCAAGTGCGGTGTGGTGCTGCACTCGCCTAAAATTCCCAGTCTGAAGTTGAACGTGATCACAATGATATTTCCTTGGCTAACTAGCATTGTCGGGTCGTACGGATGACCTCCTCCGTAGGAGAAGTCGTCGCCATGAATAAATATCAGGCAAGGCACGGGACGATCCACTTTCCCTTCGGAAACTGCAACAAAAAAATTAAGGATTTATTAATACATGGGATTTTACAAGGGTCAAAGTTCATATTTATGACGTTTATCAACTGTTGAAACAATTATCCGGGCTGTTCTCTGGTGAGGAAGGTCGTACGTACAGGGGGATTATTTACGCTAGGCATCTCATTTGCATATGTTGACGCATTAATGATAGACAGAGGCAATTCACGTCATCCTTCGTAAGTCCGTAACTTAAGAATCTTACGAAGATTTTGAAGACAATTTTTGCTTACGAACTTAAAAAACCTTTCGAAGATAAAATGCATGGTTTTGGTTCATAAGTCGATCTTTGTAACTTTACGTGATTACGAATTTACGAGTTTATTCAACATGGAATTTCATTATGCCCGTATCCCCAGAAATGAGGCATAGTTAGATTTTATTTTATGAAAATGAGGTGACACGCACAAATAATTCCACTGTACATACATGGCACCTTTTCTACTGTCAATACTTATGCATAGTTATCCTCCCCAGTAAATCCACACATCTCTCTCTCACTCCGTGCATATCCTCAGGGTTCAATTTATTCCTCGACGTATAAGTTGGATAGGATTTGTCAAAGTTATGGTTGCCGTGTGATCGTGCAAATGAATGATTAATGAACATTATCAATATCTGTCACCAACTGAACAGGCACTATTTCTATCATGTAAATCCGGCCATTGTCTCCAAAAACTTTCTCCTCCCTTTCTCCCAAGCAAAGGTCTCCCCGCAAAATAATGTGGTATGCATACTGCTCTCCTCGTCATTTTGTTATTGTTTTCATCACGTAAGAAATCCCCACACCTCCCTTCACACCACATTACATAATAACATTTATATTTGTGAGGATGATGATACGAGTGAAGAACAGATCTCACAAGGGAACCTCAACTACTGTCCCATCTCGATTTCCTTCGGAATAGCCTTAATCGACGGATAATTTAATGAAACTAAAACTTTGTCATAAAACATGCGGTGCAAAATCGCGTTTTCGCGAAATATTTGGCGAGAACTGCAGCAAAACCTGCCATTTTCCCAATGCTTTTAATATAGCCCCAAGTCTTTAGAATGATGTAATGAACTTTATGCAATATTGAAAAATTATATATGTACCCGTCCGCGTAATTTCAGCCCGATCACGATTATGCAAAAAGTGATGCAAACATTTGCCAATTTTTTGCAAATTGCGAAAATCGGAAAAATTTCGCAAATTTGAATTCTTCGTTTCTTTAAATAAAATTTTCAAAGTTTAACTAATGTAAAATACAATTTTCTTATTGCAAAAAATTTGCAAAAAAAATCGCAAATAATTTCGAAAAATATGTACAAATAGACTAGCATTGGTTATTTTAACTAATTTTCATGAAAAATTACGAACTTCAATTTTTGCAAATTTTTGCAAATTTTTTGCAAATATTTTGCAATATGAAAAATGTATTTTATATGCGAAATTTTTTCGATGTTCTCAATTTGCAAAAAACTGGCAAATGTTTGCATCCTTTTTGCATATTCGTGATCGGGCTGAAATTACGCGGACGGGTAAATATATAATTCTTCGATATTCCATAAAGTTCATTTCATCATTCGAAAGGCTGGTGGCTATGTTAAAAGCATTGGAAAAATGACGGGTTTTGGTGCAGCTCTTGCCAAATATTTCGCGAAAACGTGATTTTGCACCGCATGTTCTATGACAAAGTTTTAGTTTCATTAAATTATCTACCGATTAAGGCTATTCCGAAGGAAATCGAGATGGGACAGTAGTTGAGGTTCCCTTGTCAGCTCAGCTAAGCCACGGCCTGCCAACAAATAACAACTCGTACCGCGTCGGCTGTAAAGTTGTTGCGGCGGAGGACGAATTGGGGATGAGGACTCATTCAGTTCTTGGCAAAACTTCCCAGCCCCACATCCGTCTCACATCCTAATGAGCCTGCTCGAGAGAGAGATGTATACAGAAATACAGCGATATCATATCGCCGATATGTACATACATCCAGGAGGCCACAAGCAGTGGCCGCGGAAATAGCGACAATGTCCCCACGGTTGTTCGATGTCCGCATCATCTCCCCATCTTATATAAACCCCTCCCTCCCTTCTATCCTACAATTCTAATGTCCCCACACCTTCCGCGGCCACAAGTCTCTCGTCCCAAGCAGTGCCAACGTTTTGGAAATGGAATCCAAAATCAGAATCTAGCATTTCACATTCTGCGCGACAAAACTATGGCAAACAGAGCGAAACTAACGCTTACTTTTAACGTTCAATTCAAGCCGAAAGAAAGCTATGGAGCTACGTGGCATCGTCCAGTTTTCGGTTTGGTCTAGAGTTCTAAGATTTGTCCCGGCCGGATTTTTTGGAGAAGAAATCCTTGCACGACTAGGCATCCCTAAAGCAATCTCGAGCTAGGAGAAAAAGGGAAACTCCTCGCTTTCACCATTTCGTAAAAGATATGACAAATTCAGGTTGATCTGCGAATATTTGTCTTCATTTTCTCTCTCCCGGAACCATCCGCTGGTTGGGCCTGTCTCCAAATTTTTACCAGTCTCCTTCATTTATTCATTTTTCCAACAACTTATTTTTATACAAAGTAATTTGGCGAGGAACACGAAAAAACAAGGGGAAAAAAGGAAGAGAGAAATATTTACAGTAGTCGCAATTTTCCCATTTACTTACTTACTAAACAAGTTGAACCAACCAACCAACCGCTGTGCGAGGATGGATATAGTTTACAATAAAATTGTGTGGAATGTGGTCCCTTATTGACAAAATTGCCTTGAAATTCCAAAACATCGAATCGCCTCATTTCCCAAATTCTTCACCAGCAAACGAGAGTGTCGCACATAAAATGTTGCTCTACACAATTTTCAGCCATCCACCCACAAGCGAGATAGTTTTATGACGTTGGGAGGAGGTTAAACCGACCCGCATTTCATTTCCTTTTACGAAGTTTTACTTCCGCACATAATATTTTCCGTAAATTTCAAAAAAAATAAAAAGTTTAAAAAATCTTGATTAGTACACTGAGCTTGATTTCTTCTACTCATTTATTTATTGCTTTCTCCGAAGGAAAAAAACTGTTCCCAAAAGCGTCGGGCTCCCCTTCTTGGTCTGTTTCGTTGGCGTAATTCCAAGGGGGCCACACTGTAAAGGAATGTAGATTCTAATTGCCTTGTTATACGCATACTGCATACAGATACCCCGTAATGAAAGAGTAGCCGCCGATCCCTGCAAAATACCCAGAGTGAAAGTATCACCAGACCAGACTACTCGACCGACATGGAGAAAGTCGGACAAGCAAAGCCAAGTTCTTTTCCTTCCTTTCTGCTTGCCCAAAATAAACTAAGTTGATACCAGTGGCCGCAGAAGTGTGGGGAATCAGAGGGACAATGTGCCCACGGTTATGAAATGTTCCAATCATCTCCGCATGTTATATAAACCCCTCCCTCCTCTATCCTACAATGTTAATGTCCCCCAGCTTTTCCGATGCCACTGACCACCACCAAATAAAACCGGTGATGGCATGAACTCAACTCACATCGGGGAAGGTGAAGTAGTAGTGATTTCAGAGTTACTTTCTTTCCTCGTAGTAACCCAAATGAGATACTTTGCCGCAAATGTGGCGTAGTTCATCTAGCTGGATACACTCTTAGAAATCTTACCACCAGGTTATAACCGACCGGTGAGTATACCGGATGGTGATAATATATCCCTGCTCGGTTATAACGGAATCACGTGGGAACTCCCACCACTAGCGAGGTGAAAGTCTATGTATCACCAAGCGGAAACACCGAAATGGTAACAAGCCCGATCACCAAGTCATTTTTTTCACCAGATTTTTTAGAGTGTACAATGAAAAGTAAGGGAGGCGCAAGGAGGATGTAAACGGCTACGTTTAGGGTACGACTATTTGTGGGGAAAGTCAAGAAAGTGTTGGGACCCGTTAAAATAATAATAATTGTTAAACACGCCGAGTATTTACTCTGCGGTCTTTAAAATATTATATCCCCGTAAATTTAGAGATTCTTACCAAACACGATTATTTACTTGATGGCATGCCTGCACGAAATGGAATCACTGACACAACAAAGTAAAAAAATGTTATCGCAACAGAACATAAACTTCTCACGTGTCGGGGAGGTGCAGAGATAAACAAGTTTTTGGAACGGTCTCTCACGCATTTTTTTTCTTTTCCCCCGTGGACAGGTTTCCAAAATAAATGTGCTATGTATTTACCTGAGATGAGATAAGAGTGAGTTGGGAGGGGAAAATGGGGTTGGAGAAAGTTGCGTAATCGTAATACTGCTTGACGGGTTTATGAATCTGGGCAGTAAATAAACTCGTGTACCAATTTGTAAACAATGACAACATTATCAGCGTGTGTGTGGGGAGAGAGAGGTTTTGTTGAAGGCAAATAATAATAAATAAATAATAAGATCATTGCCGTCGACAAGTTTGAACCCTTTTCAGGCACTGAGGAGCACTTATGGACTGACTATTTACTGCTATAAACCATTCATATGCATGCCTACTCCAAATAGAAAGAGTTGGCTAGAAGAGTCTTTTTACAGGACAAAAATGTGAATAGTTATTGTTCATTTAAAATTAGTATGCGTTAAAAAATCTGAAAGGTTATTTGGTGGATGATTGTTTTCTATGATTTGATTTTGTTTTAAAATACATTATTTTCTAACTTTCACCTAATTTTCAAAAAAAACATGCATAGTTAAACTTTGTCAATCGCTACTGCATATAATTTTTTTATCAGTTTTATCAATTTTTATCGATTTCAACGAATTGTAAGCATTAAATTCTTTGCACCTCGAAACATGTTTGTATCAATTGACCCCGCATGAAATAGCCTAAAAAACTTTGTGCTGCGCAAAAAATCGTGTAACCAACTGTCTCGCTATTTGGAATGGAGAGTACTTACGTCTTTGTAGACCTGCAGAGAATTGCACCACATTTTAAATGAAATACAGCAGACATT